GGAGTTGAAGTCCACAAGTCTTAAAGTTGCCAAGGTTGGAGACCCCTGAACTAAAAGACAAGTGTTCACTTATGACTCCTTTTGGTTCAGTAGTGTTCAGAGTTTTACAGCATACATTCAGCACCAGAAAAGTAAACACGGATGGCTGATAGCTTCATTTAACATCTTTATAAACATATTAAATAAATTTTACAATACCAATTGTAGATTTCTCCATCTCGGAACAAACTCAAACAGAAGCAGACATGTCACAAGCAACTCAGCTTCAGCAGAGCAGAACAGCAGCAACTCAGGAGTTCAGAAACAGACCTCAGTTTCCCTTTAGTTCAGCAGGCAAGCATTATACACAGCAGAGGAGAGAAGCAGTTTCATCTTCAATAGACAGACTCAGAGCTCAACAGAGCTGCACGTCTGGGCTCCTTCTAGTTTCAGTTTCCAAACAATCCTCCTTGGCTGACTTAGTTGCTGTGCCTATTCATTGGCTGACCTTGGTACCATGCTCTCTTCCAGTTCATTCATATATTCTGACAAGTAGGATAAGGTAATAACATAGAACCTCAACGTTTTTGTTTTATATGATAACATATACTAGCTATTTCTATATTGTCAAGTCTATCTAATCAGCAAAGCCCAAGATTAAAAGTTCCATTTCCCCCCCCCCCCACTTCCTCAAGCACAAAGTCCAGGAGTGGTTTCCACATAGAAGCAAAATTAATGGTCTTCTTTCCTTTAATCAGAGCCGTCCATTTGGCCCCGCTCTGCTGACTCCATCAAGTTTTGCAGCCATTTGTCCATGGTGGGGATCCCGGCAGGGGTGAGGTGGGAGGGAGAGCATTCCCCCATGTCCCTTCACCAATTGGGGCAGATGTAGAGTACGCTGTGTTGTAACTGGGGCGGAGGGGCTCTCCGTGGTGGGGGGTGCTGATAACTCTTCCTTCTTCCCCATCCAACTCCCTCCAGGAGCAGCGACTGGTTGAGGATTCCACCCGGGAGGTGAAGAAAGTGCGGAAGGCGCGCAACCGGCGGCTGGAGTGGAACATGATGGCTTACGATAAAGAATTCCGGCCAGATAACAGGTTCTCACCATCCCCATATCACATGGCTTCATCGGAAGGATCACTGTCCCCAGATAATAGGCAGGTTTTTGTGAATGACACACCTCGCTTGGCCTCCTTCCGTTGCGTTGGCTGCCTTGTCTTGCTTGGCTTTGTGGTTTTGGCTTCCCTTTGGTTTGACCTTCGATGGCTCTGGGGATGCTTGTATGGAAGAGAGCCTGCCTCTTGGGTAGGACCAGTGAAATCAGTGCTTGTCTTCCAAAGAATGGGTCCCAATATCTGCTGCTCAGGGATGGCTGAATTGGGGCGAGGGGTTGGCTGGGTTGATGTGGGGCTGAGCTGAGCGGTTAATGGCACCATTGGGAACATATTGTGCTTGCACCACCTTTGCTGCATGCTTTCCATCTGGCTCCTTCCCCTTCCTTTCCTTTCCTCTTCCTCTTTCCCTCTATTTTCATCTCCCTGCACACTCTATTCCTCTTACTCTTCTACCTTCTCTTCTTTCTTCTCCACCACCTCCTTCTCCTTCATCTCTTCTTTGTCCCCCTCTTCCTCCATCTCTACCTTCATCTCCTTCCCCATCTCCTCCCCCTTCTTTTCCTTCATCTCCTTCCCCACCTCCTCCTCCTCTTTCTCCTTCATCTCTACCTTCATCTCCTTCTCCTCCACCTCCTCCTACTCCTACTCCATGCTTGCACATTTCAAGAGTACGGCTTTTGGCACACCAAACCCTTGGTTCCAAGAGGCAATAGATACCATCAAATCCCTCCCATCAATTGGATCCTCTGCTCGTCCCTCCATCCCTGCCCTCCAGGTGTACAACCTCTTGGTGTTTTTGTCTGCAACAGATCTTACGCCTCCGATGTAGCTGATCATTCCTACCCAGCCAGTCCTAACCATCCTGGCCAACAGATGATGGTTCCAGCCACACATCTGGCCCCCGAGAACAAAGAGGTGGTGCTGGTGGCCACCCAGGTCCAGGATCAGATCTTCAGGCCCTCAGCAGTGGGAAGCCGGCAGAACAGCCTCAACCGGGTACAGCAGCCCCATGTGCCACAGCCACCCGAGACCATGTTAAATGGACCACGACCTCAGATAATCAAGGACTATGGGTATGGATTCTGGCCTACTTTCTTTTGTCTGTTTGTCATGACTGTCCCCTTAAGCAGGAAGAGTCGGGTGCTTTCTGAAGCTCCCGGGTGGAAAAATGCCTCTTTCCTGAACTATGGAAATGTGGTGCAAATGACTCTAGAAGTTGACTTGAGAAAGCAGATTATAACCCCTTTCTTTGCTGTGTATCTATGGATGGGCCCCAAATAAGATTCAGTGCCATGAAATCACCATTAGAAAATATGACACCTAGAGTGTTGTTGTTAATTGTGAAGTCGTGTCCAACCCATCATGGCCCCACGGACAACATTCCTCCAGGCCTTCCTGTCCTCTACCATCTTCTGGAGGCCATTTAAGCTCACACCAACTCCTTCAGGGACTCCATCCAGCTACCTCCTTCTCTGCCGTCCCGTTCTTCTTCTATGGCCTTCAATCTTTCCCAGCATTAGGCTCTTCTCCAGTGAGTCCTTCCTTCTCATTAGCTGGCCAAAGTATTGGAGTTTCATCTTCAGGATCTGGCCTTCTAAAGACCAGTCAGGGTTGATCTCCTCTAGAATTGACCGGTTGGATTGCCTTGCCATCCAAGGGACTCGCTGGAGTCTCCTCCAGCCCCAGAGTTCAAAGGCCTCCATTCTTTGGTGCTCAGCCTTCCTTATGGTCCAACTTTCACTGCCATACATTGCAACTGGGAAAACCATAGCCTTGACTATGCACACTTTTGTTGGCAGGGGGATGTCTCTGCTTTTTAGTATGCTGTCTAGATTTGCCATAACTTTCCTCACCAGGAGCAAGCGCCTTTTAATTTCTTGGCTGCAGTCCCCATCTGCGGTGATCTGGGAGCCCAGGAAAAGAAAATCTGTCACTGCCTCCATTTCTTCCCCATCTAGAGTAGGGGTCTCCAAACTTGGCAACGTTAAGCCCTGTAGACTTCAACTCCCAGAATTCCCCAGCCAGCATAGCTTTAAGTCCACAAGTCTTAAAGTTGCCAAGTTGAGACAACCCTGACCTTGAGTGATATCCCTTGATGGAAGATCAAAGGTCCTGAGAAATTAAAGAATGCCTCTTGGATGGCAGCAAAGGAAGCCCATCCCCGCTTGGTGTATTTCAGCCAACTGGGGTAGTGGGAGATTTGTATCTAGTGCTGTTTAGGCCAAGGGTCTCCAACCTTGGCCACTTTAAGACTTGTGGACTTCAGCTCCCAGAGTTCCTCAGTCAGCAGAGCTGAACGCTGGGAGTTGAAGTCCACAAGTCTTAAAGTGGCCAAGGTTGGAGAGCCCTGGTTTAGGCCATAATCCTGGAAATCTTCCAGCCGTCCCCAACCAGAGCTGTCAGCCAGAGGCCATGCTGCGTAGGGACATATCTATTGCATCAACGAGGCTCTGTCTCTTCTGTCTCTGTTCCTTCATGAAAACACAGGTAGTCCTCAACTGACGTCTACAAAAGAGCCCAACATTTCTGTTGCTAAGCGAAACATCTGCTAAATGAAATTTCCAGTTTAGGACTTTTCTTGCCATAGTTGGGAAGTTGGGAAGTGAATCACTGCAGTTGTTAAGTTAGGAACCCGGTCATTAAGCGAATCTGGCTTCCCCACTGATTTTGCTTGTCACAAAAGGTGATCCCATGGCCCCAGGACACTGCAACCGTCATAAATGTGACTGGCCAAGGATCTGAATTTTGATCTCATGACCATGGGGATGCTGCAATGGTCGTTAAGTGTGAAAAATGCTCGTGTCCCTTTTTTTCAGCACCGTTGAACATTGAACGGTCACTAAGCAAACTGTTGTAAGTTGAGGACGACTTGTAGTCAACACATGGGAGCGATTTTCTCTGTCGCAGTGACGGTGAACCTTTTTGTTGTGGTGTGCCGAAAGCATGCACGTGCTGGCACACACAATGCAATGCGCTCTGCCCCCCTTGCGCCTGCATGTGCAACATCTCCCCCCCCCTTAACTTGCACTGCGCATGTGCGCGCCTTGGAAGTGCTGAAACAGGCCCGTTTTTCGGCCTCCCAAGGCTGCAGAGGCTTCCCTCGAGCCTCCAGGAGGGCGAAAACAGCCTCCCCCGGGCTCCAGAGGCCCTCCGGAGGTGAAAACAGGCACTTCCGGTATTTCTGAAAGGCCCATTTTTCAGCCTCCTGAGGCCGCAAAGGCTTTCCTCGAGCCTCCGGGAGGGCGAAAGTGGCCTCAAATGAGCCAAAAATCAGCTGGGAGGTGCATGCATGTGCAGTGTGGGTAAGTTTGGCTGGGGCTCGCGTGCCTGCACAAATGGCACGTGTGCCGTAGATTTGCCATCATGGCTCTATCGGCTTCCTCTGCCTTCAGACAGGGACCTATTCAGAGGTGGTATTCAGCCGGTTCGGACTGGTTCTGGTGTACCAGTAGTGGAAATTTTAACCAGTTTGGAGAACCGGCAAATACCACCTCTGACTGGCCCCGCCCACCTGCCCCCGCAGTTACCTCTCCTCTATTCCCTTGTTTATTAGCCGAGCTGATTTGCACAGCAGAGTGGATTGTCACACCTCCGCTGAGCTAAGAAACAGCTCAGCTCACCGAGGGCGATCTTTGGGTGCTGCGCACACACGTGAAGTGATCCTTGATCACGTTTGAAGCGAGCAGAACCAGTAGCACGCAATTTGGAATCCCCACCGCGGCATCTATTTCTCTTGCATGGTGAATGCCACGTCTTAGCAAGTGCAGCACATTTTGGCTCAGAGTGAATTGACAAGCATGTACGTTTCCCCCACTGCCAAGGCGGGGATTTCTCAGCCGAGAAGCAGTTGCCATGGGGAACCTTTAAACCAGCCTCTTTGTGTCCCAAGGCAAAGCAGAATGATGGCATTTGATTATTTCTCATTGTTCTTATTATAAATTTGTTCCCTTCAGTTTCCACATCAATTGGCACCAAACCTGTCAGGGATTTTTATGCCCTTTTGTTTGAACATGACGCATGTTATCGATTGTCTTTGAGCAGGCACTTTTGGAAAGTCTTTCCACAATACAGTGTGATTTTCTGCTAACGTTTCTTTAATTTTGTACATTTTTTTGCCCATTTTCTCCAATGTGAGAATTTTTACAACTTAAGGGTGGTTATTGTTTTTGTTAAATGAACTGCTGCTTCGCAAAGTTTGTGTATCATTGGCAGATAGATTTAGGACATTTGAACACAAGAGCCTTCATTAAAATGTGAATTATTTCCTTAGGTTGGCTGAGGAAATGTTTCACATTTTAATAAAACCAATCTACAAATTTCTCACGGGACTTCTACTCTACTAAGTGCTGGTGAGGCACTGCATTTCTGCGTTCCTTTTGATGGAATTAAAAAGCGTCTCACATTCCACAAATAATTTCATGTTCTATTATTGTACAATTGCAACTGGCACCTTTCTCTCTGGTCCTTCCGCTTCTAATGGATTCCCTTTCAGTGTAGTCACGTCAGCATTGATAAATGGGACCCTCTAATTACCCCTTAATTATTCCATGTCTTTTACCCGGCAGAATTTCAATTATGGGTTTCTTCCCAATCAAAACTGTTCTTTTTGCTATGGAGAGATGCCCCCAGGCCGAAAGGGAAGGAGAATATAGGAGAATGCATGGGAGGTTCCTTTCCTTGCTAAACAAGACACAATTTCAAGGATGTAGGACCTAATGTGGACTCTCCCCATTAAGGACAGAATAATTTAAAAGCATCCGTAAATGTAGTTGACCCTCACACAATAAGCTGAAGCTCACATAACAAGCTAGTGTTGCCAATTGTCCAAGTCAATTCTAGGAGGGGAAAAAAGAAGACGACAAAGACTTCTAGGAAAGCAATAGGCTGTCAAGAGCTGCACTTTCACTTTCACTTTTATTCCTCTGCATTGTGTTGATGTCCACTTCAAGAGATGCTTATATCTCTCTCGGCCCTTCCTCGTAATACTCCCCTTGGCACCTGAGGTCTTTATGCACATCCTCTCTCCATCTTATTGGAGGTTGTCCAAGTGAACTTGTGGAGTGATAGGACCCCCACTAGGTCCACCTGATGTAAAGGAAGAGGAGACTAGTTTGGTGTAGCAGTTACAGCACCAGGTTAGAAACGGAGAGAGCATGAGTTGTGGTTCTGTGCAGATGAGAAGGGTGACTTTGGGCTGGTCACTTTCAATCCTGTAGATCTTGATGAGAAAACTGCACAAAATCTATGAGGTAGACCAGACTAATAAACCAATGACATCTAAGTCACTTTTATTGTAAAGCTAGGAGCCACAGTGGCGCAGTGGTTAGAGGGCAGTACTGCAGGCTACTTCTGCTGCCTCCCGGCTGCCTGCAGTTTGGCACTTCCAATCTCACCAGGCTCAAGGTTGACCTCAGCCTTCCATCCTTTCCAAGGTGGCTAAAATGGGGACCCAGATTGTTGGGGGCAAGAGGCTGACTCTGTAAACCGCTTAGAGAGGGCTGCAAAGCACCGTGAAGCAGTATATAAGTCTAAGTGCTAGTGCTATAGTAACCAACTCTTGCAAATCTGAATGTGCTTCCCTCTATCTTTGTGCAAATGAGGGAGGAGCTTGTCTGAAATGTTTTCTCACGTTGCCTTCCTGGACCAAGCTCAGGTCCCCCCTAACTAAGCAGGGCCTTGATAGACACACTTCCTTTTGCCCTTGAGGCTCTTCCCCCAGCCCTGTACCCTATGTAGTCAGCAGGGCTTGAAGGTGAGCTTGCATAAAAAGGAGAAAGCCCAAGTGCCTCCTGCCCCTTTGTATTTCCATGTCGATGCTACAGTTCTGATATGCATAGCATTGACCACGGCCAACCATGGCATAAATTTATGTTTATTTGAGAAGCAACCTAGAACTAAAGAGAAATGTCCTAATGGTGAGAGCAACCAACCAGTGGAATAGTTTGCCTTCAGACGTTCTGGGTGCACCATGGAGACTTTCAAAAAGAGACTGGACAACCATTTGTCTGAAATGATGTAGGGCATCCTGCTCAAGCAGGGGGTTGGACTAGATGACCTCTGAGGTCCCTTCCAATTGTATTATTCTATATTCTCAATAAAACATCAATCCCGTGCTAAATATCTGAAGAAAACAACAACAAAAAAAGGATTTCAGGACCATGGACAGCAGCCTCAATTGATGCCATAGACCAGGGTTTCGTGCCCCTATCGCAAGTCTGAATCTGAGGAGGAAGCTGAACAGCTGGCAGGGAGTGGGAATGTGGCCCTGTTGGGTGTGGAAGAAACTGGGGAAGGGCATAGTCCGGCTGGGCAGAGCACGGGAGAGGTAGAGCAAGGGAGAGGGAGTTCAGAGGAAGACCCAGGCCCACCCCTTCTTCATCCTTGGGCATGCAGGGAGGAACCGAGAAGGGAGCAACATGGGTTGCATGGTTTATGGGGGAGGAAAGGGCCCCGATTCCCTTCATTAGCCACACCTGGGAAGAGAGTTTAAAAGAGATGCAAGCTGAGTAAGGCAGCTGCTTGGAGCAAATGCGAGTTTATCTTGTGTTGACTTTGGGTATCTGCGTTCCTGGCATCTTCCCAACCATGTTGAATTACGGCCGTTCCTTCACTTCCTGGGTTAATTACCTCCTCTTGCCTTGATTGCACTTATAGTTAAAGTTTTGGTTGACAGCGATTTGGATTTGATTCTCTGCAGCCAAAGGCTGTTCCTGGGAGAGTTTTTCTCCAGCCCAGAAGGTAACCAGGACATTGGGAGCAAAGTTGGAGCTAATAAAGGGACATCTTATTGATTATCTGACTGTGTTGCCTTTGTGCCATGCCCCTTTGGGTCATCACACAGGGGTTCCCCAATCTCCAGGCTCAGCCCATTTCCGGGTCATGGCCTATTCGTAATTGGGTCGCATGAATGACCGCACATGCATAGCTCAACTTGCACAAGCAGTGGGCCGGTGGATATTTGCATGCTTGCGTGCTGCCACTCACATAAGATGAGCTGCATGCACAGTGCATGCATGCTCCTGCCAGCCACTCACGCGGCCCAATTCCGAAGAGGCCATAGCCCCTTCATGTGTCACAGCCCGAGGATTGGGGGCCTCTGCCGTAGGCAAAAATGCATGGTGGATTTCAGAAAATACTAGGGCTGGAATGGACCTTGGAGGTCTTCTACTCCAAGATGGTCTTTATACCATCCTGGACAAACGGCTGTCCAACCTTTTCTTGGAAGCCTTTCAAGCAGTACTTTTCCTCCTCTTATTTAAAGGTAGTGAAGAGACATTATAATGCAAAGCACGGGTTTGAATTACAAATGATATTGAGAGAAATGGCTTCTTGCAGGAAAAACACTTAGCTTTTTTGGTTAGAACATCATCTAAGGCAGGGACCTCCAACCTTGGCCACTTTAAGACTTGTGGACTTCAACTCCCCGAGTTCCTCAGCCAGCTTTGTTTTGAAGTCCACAAGTCTTAAAGTGGCCAAAGTTGGAGAGGCCGGGTCTAAGGGTCAGGAGTTTGGAAGCAAAAGTGCATTCCCACTCTTTATCTTTAAAAGATTGTATCTAAACTACCAGAGCTTTTGCCTAGGAATATATTTAATTGGAGAATGCGAATGATGACACCCAGTCCTGGAACATGCTCAATTGGAGAATCTGATTTATGACACACCCAGGGGAGAGGGGGGAAACAGGGTCACAGGGGACTGTAAATGACTTAGGCCAGAGTTGGCTTGCTGTCAGGATTCCAGCAATCGCCCTAATTAAATCATGATTGTCGAGCCAAACTTCAAAACACTTCAAAGGATCCATTAGAGGCGACATACTGGCACTGCCCTTTATGAAACCAACTCTGTCCTACGTCATTTACACTCCCTCGTGACCCTGCTTCCCCTAAACCAGGTTCTCCTATTGAGCACGTTCATGGGATGGGTATCCTCATTCACATTCTCCACTTAAATATATTCGCGGGCAAAAGCTCCAGTAATTTAGTTACAATCTTTTAAAGAGAAGAGTTGGAACGTTCTTCCACTTCCTAACTGCTGCCCTGCTCTTCCAGATTTCCTTCCTCCCCCCACCCCCCTTTTCAATGGCAACTACTAAGACAGGCATAGGAATGTTTTATGAGTTGACATCATTATCTTGTGGGCAGCAAAAGACAGCCAGATGTATTTTAAGATAAGCAATCGTCCTTGAATCCCGTGAACATAGAAACACCCCCTGACCTTTATTTTTAGAGACGAAAGCAGCAAATAAGAACTGCATTCATTGATTAGGTGGAATAAAAACACATCGCTTGCAGGAAAGCAAAAAGCTTTAAAGGACACTCAATAGATTCAGGAAGCTTGAACCGTCTTGCCTGAAGAAGCTTCTCTCCAAATTGACATCAAGGAAATGGGCGACCCAAAAGTGAAGGGAGGAGAGGAATTTAGTCAGCTCAGGCTAGTTTATATGAGGCAACCTGTGTTCTGCTGAGTCATTGTTTCAGCGAGATTTCCTTACCGAATTCCTCAGTGCCTTCAACAATGGCAGAGCTTCTAAGGCAGGGGTCCCCAACCACCGGTCCGCGGACCGGTACCGGTCCGTGGAACAACTCCTACTGGGCCGCGGCTTGCTGGGCGCCGCCATCTTTTTTTCATGAAAAAGTGCTTCCGGTGAGCTTTTCCGGTTAGAAAGCTCACCGGAAGCACTTTTTCATCAAAAAAAGATGGCGGCGCCCAGCTGATGCCGGTACCGGGCCGCGGCGCCCAGCTGATGCTGGTACCGGGCCGCGGCATCAAAAAGGTTGGGGATCACTGTTCTAAGGTACAGGTAGTCCTCAACTTACGACCTCAAGGGAGCCCAACATTTATGTTGATACCTGAGACATTTGTTAAGTGAGTTTTTCCCCTTTTTAAGACCTTTCTTGACACATTTGTTAAGTGAATCATTGCAGTTGTTAAGTTAGCAATATGGTCGTTAAGTGCAATCATCATAAATATGAGTGAGTTGCCAGGCACCTGGATTTTGATCATGGGACTGTGGGGGTATACTGCAGTAGTCGTAAGTGTGAAAATGGTCATAAGTCCCTTTTTTTTACTGCCATTGTAATGGTACTAAGCGAACGGTTGTAAATTGAGGACTACCTGTGTTGGAAAAGTTCTTAGAAATTCAGGGAGATTTCAGAGGCCTTCAATGTCGAACTGTACGTACAGCAAAGTCAAGCAACAACAGTTGACGCCAGGAAATAGAATAACAGAGTTGGAAGGGACCTTGGAGGTCTTCTAGTCCAACCCCCTGCCTAGGCAGGAAACCCAACACCTTTTACAATTATTTCATATTTGGTGATAAAGTGCTTTGTGATCATTTTAGGTCATAAAATGTTTTATAAAATTTGCCGAATTTCAATTCCATGGGAGTCACGTTCTGTAAATTTCAGGTTGTTCAGTTGAAAGATTTTGCCCTATCACACACTCTTTCTACCCAGTGAAAGGTCACAGACATGAGAATTTGAGGAGCATAAGGATGAGCCCCAAGGCTAATTATAAGTGCAAATCTTCCCCAGGTAGAAATAATGGTTATCAAGCTGAAATGGGGTGGGGTTTTTTCTTTCTTTTTTTCTTTTTTGCAAACTTTCCTAAACAGCGTGGCCTCTAAAACAGTGGCCCCCAACCTTTTGTGTGCCACGGCCCGGTACCGGCATCACAAAATGATCCACGGCCCGGTACCGGCATCAGCACGCATGGCAAGGTGAGCCGAGCGACCGGCCAGCCAGCCGTCCCCCGCTTCTCCCCGCCACCTTCAACTCCTCCTTTGTACCTTTGTCGATGGGCTTCGGGGCGGCTTCGGGACGGTCGCTTGGCTCGCCTTGCCTTGGGTGCTGAAAGAATCCTCGCGCCTTAGTTTTATTTGAAGCCTCCCCCCCCTTCGATGAAACTAAGGCGCAAGGATTCCTTCAGGACCCAAACGCCGCTTTCCAACCGGAAAAGCTCACCGGAAGCACTTTCTCATCAAAACAAGATGGCGGCGCCCAGCAAACTAGCGGCCCGGTAGAAAATGTTCCACGGACCGGTACCGGTCCGGGGCCCGGTGGTTGGGGACCCCTGCTCTAAAACATTGGTATTGCAGAAGCCAAAAAGAGCAAGCGAGCAGGCTGAGAAAGTGTGGGGCTTTAACCCCTGGTTTGTAGCTGCAATTTTGACGCTTCTGAGCCCCCTCCCCAAACTGGATGCTGCCCCGCCCCCACCTGTCCAGGAAAAAGACAAAGAAAGTTTAGGCAAGGAGAGTTTGTTGGAGCTTCCCTCAGTTTTCTGGTTCAGGGATTTGATGCATTGGGGGAAATCACACCAGTGGGCAGCCCCAGTGGTGGGATTCAAATTTTGTCACTCCCAGTTCTGTGGGCGTGGCTTGGTGGGCGTGGCAGGGGAAGGATATACTGCAAAATCTCCATTCCCTCCCCACCCCTCTAACCTGCTTTCCAGCTCCCTTCTCCTGTGCAGGGCAAGTAAAGGAGACCCAGCCGATCAGCTGGGACTTGATGGGAGGCACAGAAGAGATGGGGTTGGCGGGGCCAGTCAGAGGATTTGCCAGTTCTCTGAATGACTCAAAAGATCTGCTACCGGTTCTCCAGAACTGGTCAGAACCTGCTGAATGCCACCCCTGGACAGCCCCTTCCCTCCCGTGAAAGACCTTTGTTTTGATGGGATTAAAGCTGAAAGTGGCTTACTTAGAACATAGAATGAGTTGGAAGGGACCTTTGAGGTCTTCTAGCCCAACCCCTGCTCAAGCAGGAAACCCAATGCCATTCCAGACAAATGGCTGTCCAGTCTCTTCTTGAAAGCCTCCAATGATGGAGCATCCAGAACATTTGGAGGCAAAGCTGTTCCCCTAGTTAATTGTCTTCACTGTTAGGAAGTGTCTCCTTAATTCCTAAGGTTGCTTCTCTCCTTCATTAGTTTCCATCTGTTGTTTCTTGTCCTGCTTTCTGCTGACCTCCTTCCCTCTCCTCCTCTCTCTGCAGTCCTCAACCAGTGCCAATGGCGGACTACTTTGTGCCACCTGCTCCTCCGCCACCACCCCCAGTCATCCCTTCCGCTCAAACTGCCTTCGACAGCCCCATCTCCGCCCCTTCGGCCATGGCACCAAACGCTGCCCCTTCCGTTAGCCATGCCACCTACGCGCCTACCCCTCCCCCTGCCATGCCCTGCCCCTACTCTGCCTCTCCCCCCCAGGCTGGCCCCATGGGACCTCCTGTTGCCCCTCCCCCTCCGCCCCCTGGACCCCCCACCATCTCGGCCTCCCCTGCACACACAGCCTCCCCGCCTGCCCTGACGATGGATTCCCGGAAGCAGCAGCCGGTGCCCCTGATTCCCATGACCGATGCCAGGAGTGACCTGCTTGCTGCCATCCGCCGGGGTAAGTCAGCACCTTTTGCTTTTGCCTGTGGTTGGGACGGACCTGCAGAGTTTGAGCTGATGCACCTTAGTGGCCCTGCTCTTCTGCCAGGAAGCATTTGGCAAAGGAAGCCAAATTAGGAGGACATCATCCCGCCTCCCAAATGGAGGGGAAGAATGGGACAACTCACCGTAGCCAATTCGCCATGGCCAATTCACCATGGCCAACTTGCTATGGCCAACTCACCATGGCCAACTCACCATAGCCAATTCGCCATGGCCAACTCACCATAGCCATCTCACCATGGCTAACTCACCATAGCCAACTCACCATGGCCAACTCACCATAGCCAACTCACCATGGCCAACTCACCGTAGCCAACTCACCGTAGCCAACTCACCATGGTCAACTCACCATGGCTAACTCACCATAGCCAACTCACCATAGCCAACTCACCATGGCCAACTCGCCACAGGATAACACAACCATTCAATTTAATTACTTAAAATAATTAATACATTATTTTAATTGTTGTCATTCACATTTCATTTTGTCCTTCCTTTCACATCCTTTCTTTACTGATTCTATCCCACCAGTTTTTTGGGTATTAGTGTAGCTCTTCTCCTGCGGTGAGTTTTCCTGCAGCACATTGGCCATGGCAAGTTGGCTGCAGATGGAGATCCGGTGCCCACTCTTCCTGAACTAGATGCTCCTAATTGCCTTCTTTGCTTTGCCATGTTGAGGGTCCCATCATCCTTGGATGGGGTTGGTCAATGGATCGATCTTCAACACCAGCACTCGAGCTGAGAGAGACCTGCTGGTGATCCTGTATAGTTAGTGAACACCTTGAAGGAAGTGTTGGAAAGGCCTCTTCTCCACAAAATTTAAGGGTTGGGTTTCAAAGGCACGGAGAAGCTCTCAACAAATGCACCGGATCAATATTTCTCAACCATTTATTTTTGTGCTCTTGATCCAATTCCAACCTTGCTTTTTCTCCTGTGGCCTCCTTTGTCCGGAGCTCTTCTCAGCTAAGGAACATGCAACTGGTGCATTTTTCTGATCGCCACAGTAATAAAGGAGAATAGCTCAGGGTTTAAATGAGGTGTGCTTGGTGGTGCTCTCTGAGTTTGGTTCTTTCATGACCCAAACTGGGTAACATCATCCGTGCTAGTGTGGGTAATGAAATATCTGCAAGAAAACAACCAAGTATTTGCAGTTTAACAACACACTTTGCTTTTCTGTGGCCCTCTTGGCATGGGCTCTGCACCCCGCACCTCATCCCTGTTACATGTTTCCACCTCAGGCTCCCTTGAAATATCCTAGGGCCCAAGTTGAGAACTCTGGCTTTAGATCAGGGCTCTCCAACCTTGGCCACTTTAAGACTTGTGGATTCAACTCCCAGAATTCCCCAGCCAGCTTTGCTGGCTGGGGAATTCTGGGAGTTGAATCCACAAGTCTTAAAGTGGCCAAGGTTGGAGAGCCCTGCATTAGAGCAAAGCATCACACGGAAGGGCTAAAGCCAGTCCAAGACCAGCTGGTGCCAAGGCAAAAACCTTCCTTTCCACCCCCCTCCCTGCCCAGGAATCCAGCTGCGCAAAGTCCAGGAGCAATGGGAACAGGAAGCCAAGAAGGAGCCGGTGGGGAACGACGTGGCCACGATCCTCTCCCGAAGGATTGCGGTGGAATACAGCGAATCTGACGACGATTCGGAGTTGGATGAGAACGAGTGGTCCGATTAAAGAAGGGGCAGTGGGGCTGCTGCCTTTGGAGCAGTGGGGGGGGGGGGGGGGGGGGGGGCGGGAGGTCTCCCAGGTTTTTTCCCCTGCCGCCTTTCTGCCCCTCCCACCCACTCCCCAAGCTCAGAGGCGACTTGGCGTTCCTGGCCGGTAAAATCGCCGGCTGCTCTGAGCAGCTCATCTTCAGGAGCTTTGCTTTCGTGCCATGTTGTGTTGTTGACAGTGTTTTTAAGGTGGCCTCTTTGTGGGCAGGTGGGCATTAGGGATCCTTATCTGTTGAAACACACGGTCGGAGGAGGGGCGGGGGAGGAGAAGACCGGCTGTCTCCCCAGTTTTCCCAGGGGTGAAAAAAAAAACGGCATCTGGATATTTTTTTTCCAACCTGCTGGAAAAGTTGGAGCGACCTTCCCTTACCCTGACACCCTAAAAGGAAGGGGTGGGGGGTGAGGTGAGGTGGGGGGGGTCCTTTGCAGCCCTTCCCTCTCAAGATTTCAGCCTGGGCCTGACAGATTTTGACAGCCATCATTGAGAGACGACGGAGATAAATTTTAAGCATCCACCCTTTCTACGGAGACTTCCTCCAAGAGGCTCCCCTCTGGGAAAACCCCCGTCATGTGGTTTCCAAAGTTAGAAGGGATGTAAATCGTTCTTAAGCTTCTCTCCGTTGCTTCTAGCACTTTCTACTGAGCACCAGAAAGCAAATTGCCCAAAATTGCTAGCACTTTACAAGGGAAGGGGGAAAATAGGGTGACGGTAGATTTTCAGATTTCCCCAACCTGCTGGTCACTTAACTCTAACCCCCGACCCCCAGCCTGCAAATTCAGCAGCTGGACTAACTGCAGCTTATGAGAGCCTGAATCCACACTTGCTTAGGACCTCACCTTGGGGAACAATATAACAGTAGAGGATTCTGTCAGCCACAGTTTATTTTGCAAGCCACGGTTATGGCCAGTGTGAACAGCTTGGGCCTTGCTACTGTTGGCAGTCAAAGGCTCTTCTTTTCGAAATGACCAAGTCAGGACAAGCCCAACAATAAGCCAGATTCAGCGAGAGAAGGCAATGGTTGGACAAAGGACAAACAATCCCAGTTGAGACGTGATCAAGGGGAGTTTGAGAACAAATCCCAGCTGAGCAGCCATTGGCGGGAGGCGAATCAGCATTGCAAGATCTTTTGATTCTACTTGTAGAAAACATAAATCCTTTGTTCTCCAGAAGGATATTCTGACTCCACATAGTGGGAAGATGGAATATTTATTTTCCCACTTTAATAACCTTTCACCCAGGTGAATGTGTGGATAGTAAAGCCATGAATGTTTCCAACCATAAGAGTTTCAAATGTCCGAGGGAATCAGCAAAACCTGGCCAACAATTAATTTGCTGAGTTATTTTGCATTCTGATCTATAGCTATTTTTTTCTCAATGTTGCCATGGAGAAAATACTCCATTTCCTCCTCCTTTTCCTCCATTTTCCCCCAATTGTGAAGAACTAGAAACAAAATTGCTGTAAAATTGCTTGTTCATCCAGAAAAAAAGTTTGCAAAATAACAATGGGAAAATTCTGATTTTTGAGCTGATATAACCAAATATGATAAAAATGTCAATCATCACCAACTGAGCAGGATGGTTTTAAGTGCTCATTTCTTTCCAGAAAGCTGCTAACTGTGTACTTTTTCTTCCTGGTTTAATCAATTTAAAATCCTTGAGCAGCCTTGAAAATTAAAAATTTCCCACCAGAGTAAGTTGATATTCACACATCTTTCATAAATACCTAATTTTATAGTTGTGCCTATTTGGAAGTAAGTCCTGATTGGGTTTCGTTGGGCTTACACTCACTCAATGTACATAGGAATATAACGGTAATTTTTAAAAACATAACAGTATTTGGCAGCGAATGAAAACAAGTGCCAATTCCTCTCTCCTAAGGTCACATGTTTTTTTACTTATATTTTTTCTTTTATTTAGAACGAAGTTAAAATTACAAAATATAAAACTCAGAAAAAAACACAAAGCAGTCAAAACATTAAAAAAGGTGTAACAAAAAACCTCCACACATTTTTAATGTTCTGACTGTTTTGTCTTTTGGGTTTTTCTTCTTGGGTTTTTTTGAGTTTTGTATTTTGTAGATCAAGGGTCTCCTTTAAGTTGCCAAGGTTGGAGACCCTTCTTGTAGATCATCTAATTTTTTTAAATTAGGTGAGTGTGGGGCTGTAAACTGCCCCCAATTTCATTGTTTTTCACAGCTTTTGGGTTTAATTTGAAGGAGTTCTGATGTCCACTTTTGATTTATGGCTGTGCAAGACTCGAATAGTCCAGTTTTGATTTATGGCCATGCAAGACTTGAATAGTTGCTTCAGTGTAAGTAGGAACCCAAATAGAGGCCTCTCTGTGGCTCATTAATACAACTGTATCTTTTTTCAGGATTGCACATCTGCTACAGAGGTCGCTCCACGGTAGCCTCCCATTTAATGATGTGGCTGCTTTAATAAGTCTTGGATTCAGACATCACATATTCTGAAGAAATTCAGGATATTGAATTCAAAGTACCGCACAGCCCTATTCTCTATATATGCTTTTCGCGAAATTTGGTTCCCAAGAGGTGCAGTGCATTCTTTTAAAGCGAGAGCCTCCCAACTTGGCACCTTTAAGCCTTGCGGATTTCAACTCCCAGAATTCCCTAGCCAGCCATGCTGGCTGGGGAATTCTGGGAGTTGAAATCCATGAGTCTTAAAGGTGCCAAGTTGGGAGAACCCCCTGTTTCAAAGTGAAGGAACGCACTGAGACTTTGCAGGCTCAGGATTGCTTAATCAACATTCTTAAATTCTGCCCTCAGATTATAATCAAAAGTATACAAGTGTTTGCATAACAGGAAGGAGGCTCCTTTCCTCCTTTGACAATCGAGTAAACTAAAGCAAGGGTCTCCAACCTTGGCCACTTTAAGACTTGTGGACTTCAACCCCCAGAATTCCTCAGCCACAAGTCTTAAAGTTCCCAAGGTTGGAGATCCCTGAACTAAAGTGTTTCCATTGTTGAGAAGTGTTAAGGACCATATCTGCCTCTCAGTTTTTGGCGTATGCAATATTTTTTTTTGTACTGCTATATATTGTCTAAATTGGCTGGCAATTTGCCTTTGTCAACCGAGGGAGAACAATTGAAATCATATTAATGGCTACCTGATTATTCTGAAGAAAATTAGCGAAGGCTCTAGCCCCCCCCCCCCTCCAAAATATAAGTTCCCTTTTTGTCCAGGAAAATTTCCCATACCTCCACTAAGGAAATGGGATCCATGTGTAGCCTGTTCTCGTCCTTCCAGGAACAGTTGTGTACACAAACGCTTCAACTCCCTGAAAAAGGCATTGTGAAAAGTCTGCCTAGATCAGAGGCCTTCAAACTTGACAGCTTGAAGACTTGTGGACTTCAACTCCCAGAATTCCTCCTCCAGTCAGGTTAGCTCTGGAATTCTGGGAGTTGAAGTCCACAAGTCTTAAACTTGCCAAGTTTGAAGACCCTTGGCCTAGGTTTTGGCCACAGATGCACCCCTGATCACTTGCCATCTTCTCCATCCAGTCTGCCCTTAATCCAGACTGCAGAGGGTGGTGGAATTCTTCAGGGCATCTTCACCCCAAAGCAGGGGTGGGATTCAAAAATCCCAGCAATCGGTTCACTGCCCAGTTGCTGGGTGGGGCCTGGCCAGAGTGGGCGTGGCCTATCGGAACTTCCAGGAGGGCCATTTTTTTGCCTTCCCCAGAGTCCGGAGGCTTCCCTCGGGCCTCTGGGAGGGCAGAAACGGCCTTCTCCAGGTTCTGGAGGCCCTCCAGAAGCTGGAAACGGGCCTGTTTCTGGACTTCTGGTACTTCCGTAAGGCAGTTTTGCCCCTCCCAGAGCCTCCGCACAGCCCCTGCACTTACCTGCATCTAAAATGGGCTGCGTGAAGGGTGGGTGGGGCCAGCCAGTCGGTTCAAATACTGGTTCTGCAAACCAGATGCAAATTTAACTTCCAGTTCGCCTGAACCGGTCTGAACCGGCAGAATCCCACCCCTGCCCCAAAGCAGTGGGGCCCCTGCCCATGATGGAGCAGTAGTGATCTTCCATCCTCTGCCTCTAGCTTTCTTCATTGCCAAGGTGCAAGATTGGGTAGGGAAACTGGCAGAAGATTGGATAGAGAAGGGAAAGGATGGGTTTGACCTGTAGGAGACCCAAGGCTCTGTCCCTTCCTCTCCAGGCTGGCTGGGGAATTCTGGGAGTTGAAGTCCATAACTCTGAAGGTTGCCAAGGTTGAGAAATTCTGATTTAGTATCGGGCAGATTCTTCAGTCCAGGTGCCAGATCATTATTTATAACAGGGGTCTCCAAACTTGGCCACTTTAAGACTTGTGGACTTCAACTCCCAGCAAAGCTGGCTGGAGAATTCTGGGAGTTGAAGTCCACAAGTCTTAAAGTGGCCAAGTTTGGAGACCTCTGATTTATAGCATTGAAATAGGTCAGGGATAGGAAATAAACCAGCACATTGTGACAGTTGTTGGAGGTACAGGTAGTCCTCAACATACGACCACAAATTGAGCCCCAGATTTTTGTTGCTAAGTGAAACATTGGTTAAGTGAGGTTTTTGCCCCATTTTTATGACTTTTCTTGTTAAGTTAGTCCCGTGGTCCTAAAGTGAATCTTGGCTTCCCCACTGAAGTTGCTTGTCAGAATGTGGCAAAAGGGATCCCTTGACCCGAGGACACTGAAACTGTCATAAATATGAGTCAGTGGCCAAGCATCTGAATTGGGATCACCTGACCACAAGGGTTGCTGCAATGGCCATGTATGGAAAAATAGTCACAAGTCCACTTTTTCATGGCTGTTATAACTTTGAGCGGCCACTAAATGAGCTGCCGTAAGTCGAGGACTACCTGTATAAAGACTGCTGCCTGTTTGAGATACCCTCGGGTTTTAAGGGAAAGATAATGAGACAATGAGTAGGAATTGCTGGGGAACCAGGTAATGAAGCCATGATAGCAAGGA